ATCGAATATAGCTGTTAAGCTTATAGGTTGTGTAAAAAAATGTGTAAACGGAACACATCGACAATAGTTTTGATAGGGCTTCGCCAAAAAATACATGAAATTACTCAATGTTGGAAAAATTTAGAAAAGTTTTATAATAGGTAAAGCAAGCAAATTATGTAATTACTCAGCTGCTTAATAAACTTTACTACATATGAGTTTTTGAGAGAAAAGCGCCTCATTAGCGATAACTTCTATTTCTTTTTTTTTGTTACAGCTATCTATTCACTGCTGCACCTTAAATCTTTTGATTTCTCTGACTTTAGGCGGCAACGAAAGCCTAGAAGAAGAAGGTTAAGCTATTTTTTATGCGAGTAGTAGGCAGTGAAAAAAATCCAGTTGAATTCATAAATGCAGCACAATCACTGTACTTTGTAAGCGATAGTTTGATCCTAAGGAATTTTCATAAAGAATTTTCGATAATTCTACGCAGTGACAGTTATACGTAAGTAAATTTATATTTACAGGATCCGAACTAAGAATGGGTAATTAGACATTCTAAAAACGACAGTACATATTTGTACCAATAATAAGTGCATTGCCTGCTTTTCACACCTTTTTATTTTCAACTAATTTCACAAATTGTACTTGTCATCCGACAAAAAGCAGTGTTTAATAGAATTTCTGAGAATTTCTACAAAAAAAACGTACTCGCGAAAAAAATGTTTTTTAAATTATAGTCTTGTAATTACTTTCCTGATTTACACTTACTTTAAAATAAGGGTAATTGCAATCTATTCAGTAAATGATTTTTACTTGTGTATTCAATTGAGTGTAAAAATTTAAAAGCTCAGCTTAAAAGTTAAATTATGACAATTATTAGGAAATTTTCAAAGGAGCTTTCACTGAAATTATTGACTGCAACCAATAGTATGCGTTAATTGATAGATTTCTATGACTCCTATGTACTTACCGTAGCAAACAAAGACCTTTTTAAATGGAGTGGTTCTAAAGTCTCGAGATCTCTGGATGAACTCAACAAAAATAAAGATTCAAACTACATCAACGCTTTATGTTTTTACAGGTTTTTTTCGAGAGGAAGAAAGTCTTCGATCCTCAATACATTTGGAGACTTGCACTGTCTTCTTCAAAATTTCTACAAATTTTCGGACACTGGGCACTAATCTGTGCATATTTTTGCACATT